CACCAGAGTGTCAATGACATCATCTTACTTGGACCCACAGTCAATACTCTAGGTAGTAGCAGTAAGGAGATCAGGAGATGTCTTGCACTGGGCAAGTCAATGGTCAGGGACCTCTACAAATTATGGAGGAGCAATGATGCCAGTCTGAGGTGCACTTGATTCAGACCATGGTCTCTGCAGTCACTAGCATGCTGCTGAGAGCTGGACAGTGAATAAGGACGACAGAAGATGGATTGATGCCTTTGGCTATGATGTTGAAGAAGAGCCATAAATATCCTGTGGCCAAAAGCAGCAGCAGGTATGTCCCGGAGAAGGTGCAGCCAGTGTTCCTCGGGGGCAAAGATGGTGAAGCTTTGTCTCACATACTGTGGGCATGTTGCTAGGAGAGGCCGCTCCTTGGAGAGGGACCATCCTGTTCGGGAAGGTGGACGGACAGTGATGGAGAGGAAGACTCTTGACCAGGTGGATTGACACAGTAACTGCCATGGTGGGCCTGAGGGTGCTGGGGGCTCTGAGGACAGTTCAGGATAGGACAGGACCCGGCAGTAAACCACCCAATCCTGGGCCTCCTCCACAGAAACCGGCAGTATTGCAGGTCTGAGTTACCCTTGAGTGTTTTTTGCAATTCTTTCAGCTTGAGAAATGTCAAGTATGTTTTTCCCTTTTGGTTTTCTAATTCAAGGTCTTTGCACCTTTCACTATAAGACTTTGCTTTGTCTTCCTGAACTGCCCTTTGATGTCTATTCAGCTCTATTTCATCATTTCACGTTGGCATCTCTGAGAGCTAGTTTCAGAATCTCTTCTCACTTCTATTTTTATTTTTTCTTTTTTCCATTTTGATCTTTTACTGCTACTTAGTGATCTTTTGGTTTTTCCATGTTTAATGTCCTTAAGGTCATCCCACAACTTCTCAAAGTCATTGGTGCCCCGTGCATCAAATCTGGTCTTGACATGGTGTTTAAATTCAAGGGAATAAATGCAGGGCTGTATTTTGGCTCTTGGGATTTGTTTTCATTCTCTTCAGCTTCAGTTCAAACTTGAATATGAGTAATTGATGGTCTGGTCTGCAGTCAGACCTTGGCCTTGTTCTGATGACACTGTTTCTTCACTGTCCTTTACACAGTCAATTTGATTCCTGTGTGTTCCCTGAGTTGAGGACCACGTGTGTGTTGTTAGGTGCCATTAAGCTGATGATGAATCACTAACCCTGTGAATAGGAAAGCCGAACCCTGCCCTGTACTGTGCCGTCCTCACAATCTGATAGACTTAAAGCCATTGTTACAATAATTGTGACAATCCATCTTATTGACTCTTACTGAGAGTCTTCCTCCTTTCTCTGACCCTTCACCTTCACCAGAATGTGTCCTTCTTTTTTTTAAATTTCTTTTTATTTTATTCTTTGTGTGTGTGTGTGTACCATCAAATTGGATATGACTGGTATGAATATATCCTTCTTTTAAGGACAGGAACCCCCTGACCACAAGCCCAAAGTATGTGAGACGAAGTTTCCCCATCCTTGCCTCTAAGGAGCACTCCAGCTGCACTTCCTCTGAGATAGAGTTGATCGTTCTTTTGGAAATCGATGAGATATTCAGTATTTCCCACCAAGACCATAATTCAAAGGCATTGGTTCTTCTTTAGTCTGCCTTACTCCCTAACTTTCAGATGCATAGCAAGTAATTGGAAAGACCATGGCTTTTCTTCTACTTAAGAATGTGATGTAAAGTAGATTACTCTAAAATTAAAGGATTAAAATAATAAACCTGAAAGAAATTACAATTTAACAAATAAATAGCAAATGCTTCTTTAACAACCGTTGGTTTTTTTTGTTTGTTTGTTTTTAAATTTTATCTTATTATTTTTGTGCATGTACCATCAAATCAGATCTGACTGGTACAGGAGGAGATTTGTTCCTCCTTCTCCAGCAAAGCATCTGGTGGATTCGAACTGTGTGCCTTTGGGATTGCAGTGCAGCTTCCTGCCACTAGGCCACCAGAGCTCCCTCAACAACTGCTGTTTTTTGTTTGTTTTTTTATAAACAAAAATCTACTACTTCGTAAGAAGAGCTAAAAAGAGTAGAGGGAAAACATAAAAACAGCCTTAGAAACAAAAAGAAGGAGCTCAGGTGGCCTAGTGGCAAGAGGCTGCACTGCAATCCTAAAGGCACGCTGTTCAAATCCACCAGATGCTCTGCTGGAAAAGGAGGGGCAAACACACACACAAATAAAAAGAAACAGGATTATAAATGCAAAGATTTTTAAGTTCTCTTGAAAATGTATTAGTGCCACTAAACTTGAACATCAAGAAGATATTGAAGACTTCCAAATTGAGATGAAGTGACCCAGGATTTCCTGGTGTAAATTATCAATATTAACACAAGATGGAGAAATTTTGGATACATCATAATGGAAGTAACCAGAAGAGCTCATCAAATATTTATTACCAAAAAATTACTACCATAAATTATAGTAAGCCTCACAGGTTTCAAAAGTAAAATGAAGTTCAAGGTTATTAAAATACCTCACAGCAGCTCTGAGTGCAAGTTACTAGGCTTTCTAGACCACAAAGTCAACTTCTACTGTGAGACTCACAAAAGAAACCAGATTGACTGGATTAGTGAATGTGGATGTTATGGGATAAGAAATCAAGTTTGCTAGAACAGTACATCATAACCAGATAGGACTTAGTCCAGGTGTGTGAAGGTTTGTTGTTGTTGTTAGGTGCTGTCAAGTCAAATGTGACTCACAGCAATCTTATTAACCCTGTCCTATCCCATGAAATCCTCACACTCCTTTACACACAAGAAGAGCCCACTGCTGCAGTCACCATGTCAATTTACCTGGTTGAGGGTCTTCCTCTCCTTCACCGACCCTCCACCCTTCCTAGCATCATGTGACTCTTTAAGGAATATCCCCTCCTAGCATAATGCCCAAAGTACGTGAGGTGAAGCCTCATCATTCTGGCCTCCAAAGAGCACTCTGGCTGCACCCTCTCCAAGACATATCTGTTCGTGGAATGTTGAGTGCCCTTCTCCAACACCACAGCTCAAAGGCATCAATTCTTCTTCTGCAATCCTTATTCATTGTCCAGCTCTCATATGCATAGCAAGTGATCAGAAAGACTGAAACAGACACCTGAATCACAAGCACCTTAGTCCTTAAACTGGCATCATTACTCCTCAATAATTTGGAGAGGTCCTAACTGCAGATTATCCAGTGCAATGTGTTTCCTTATTTCCTGACTGCTGGTACCAATGGTGTTAATTGTGGGTCCAAGCAAGATGAAGTTGTTGACAGTTTAAATCTCCTTTCCATCCATCATGACACTGCCTCTTGGTCCAGCAATAAGAATCTTTGCTTTCTTAACATTGAGATGCAATCCATACCAAAGGTTGCATTCCTTGATCTTTTGCAACTGTGCTCAAAAATCCACTAATGCAATGCATGGATATTTATAGGGTGGGGAAGAAATTGTTCAGTCATCTCAGGAGATTTTGATGATTTGGGGGGAAAAGAAAAAAAATACTACTAGTTTAAGGATAAAAAGCTACAGTTCCCAGTAAACAAAGATAGAAGGAATCACTCTAAATTCAGTCGGAAGCAGTTCAAACAGCATGGGGTGTGGAGAGTAATAGAGACGCTATGCATGTGATCGTGAGTGAGAGGGTACCGTCCATAATGCATACAAGGAAAACCTGTCAGTACAACTGTTAATCAAATATTCACACCAACAACCACAGAAAGTGAGGATTTCTAGTAACTAAAAATGGAATCAAGATGCATCAGTAATAATTGATGACTGAAATGCAAAAGTTGGTAACAAAGAAGTACTGCTGGTCAGAAATTATGGATGTAGTGACAGAAGCGATGCTGGAAAATGAATGGCTTTGATTTATTCACTGCAAATACTGAGAGAAAGGAGAGAGGGGAGAGGGGAGAGGGGAGACGGAGAGGGAGAGAGAGAGAGAGAGAGAGAGAGAGAGACTGGTGACTATACACATGGACCTCACCTGATAGGAATCAGATCGATGACTTCTGTAGAAAGAATCATTGGAGAAACTCAGTATCAGCAGTCAAAACTAGGCCAGGTGTTGACTGTGGATCAGATCATCAAATTACCCATGTGCAAGTGTAAACTGAAGCTGAAGAATGAAAACAAGTACACTAAGCCAAAATATGACTTTGAGTCTATCCCACCTGAATTTAACCACTCAACAACAGATTGGAGGCTTTGAACTCTAATGATGAAAGACCAGATGAGGTGAAGGATGACATCAAGTATCTCATCCATGAAGAGAGCAGAAGATTATTACAAAGACATAGGAGAAAGAAGAAAACAAAGTGGGTGTCAGAAGAGACTGAAAATTGTACTAGAGCATCAAGAAGCCAAAACAAAGCAAAGAGATGAACAACGTATTTCAAAGAATATCTCAAAAAGAAAGCAAACTATTATAAGGATATGTACAAAGAACTAGAGTTAGAAAATCAAAAGTGAAGAACTCCTTCAGCATTTCTCAGGCTGAAAGAACTGAAGAAGAACAAATCCAAACCTCAAGTTGCGATACTGAGAGATGTTATAGGCAATTCTTGAATGTTCCAGGAAGCATCAAAAAAAGATGGAGGGAATATTGAGTCACTATACCAAAAACAATTGACTGATATGGAATGATTTCATGAAATAGAACATGATCAAGAAACAATGGCAAAGATGGAAGAAGTTAAAAATGTATTGAAGGCATTAGGGGGGAAAAATCCCCAGGAATTGATAGAATACTGTAAAAAGAACATGGACAAGAAAAAGAATGAGGACAGCCATATATGAACTTTACTCAATTCACAAAGGGAAACTGTCCCTGCCAACAGCATCAACACCACAAAACAAATTCCCGGGCGGCTGGGGGCGGAGCCGGGGCGAGAGTCGCCTCTTGGCCTTCTTGGGCCCTAGTGCGGCCATCGGGTCGTCACGCAGGTCGCCGGGTCGTCACGCGGGTCGCCAACGCCATGAAGATCTGGACCTCCGAGCATGTCTTTGACCACCCCCGGGAAATGGTCACAACAGCTGCGATGCAGAAGTACCCCAACCCGATGAACCCCAGCGTGGTGGGTGTCGATGTCCTGCACAGGCACGTGGACCCCTCGGGCAAGCTGCACAGCCAGCGGGCCCTCTGTGGTGCGATCTCTTACGGGCGCAGCTCGAACAAAGACTTACGTGCAGGAGCATTCTGTAGTTGACCCAGTAGAGGAAACGATGGAACTGAAGTCCACTAATATTTCCTTTACAAATATGGTCTCCGTGGACGGGAGGCTCATCTACGAGCCTCATCCTCAGCACCCGGGCAAAACGATTCTCACTCAGGAAGCCCTCATCATCGTCAAGGGCGTCAGCCTCAGCAGCTACCTGGAAAGTCTGATGGCGAGTACCATCTCTTCCAATGCTAGTAAAGGTCGAGAAGCCATAGAATGGGTAATAAACAAATTAAACGCTGATATTGAAGAATTGACGGCCTCCGCTAGAGGAAGCATAAGGGCGCCGATGGCAGTGGCAGCGTTTGGAGAAAAATGACAGTGGCACGAGGCACAGTGGCAGGCCCCAAGTCTCCAAGCCAGCGGTGTATTTATTGGTTATTTAAGAACTATAACTCTTTTAGGTGGGCTTTTTTTTTTTTAAGTAAGCTGGAGAGTGTCTTTGTGACTTTGATAAAAACAAAGAGGGGCAGGGCTTCAAACTAAGGGATCATTGAAAAAAATAGTGTTGTTTGATGACAGTCTAATTCTGAGGTATCCAGTGTTTTTGTGTAAATGTAACGATTATTGAAAAAGTGCACTGAAATTGATAATGCCATATTGAGTCTCCTAGAATTAAAGGGTGAAACTTCTGGGTTGTGGGAATTTTGCTGGGCTTTGACCAACACCATAATAAGGCCAGGCCACTCAGGTCCACAGGCTGCTGGCACTCACCGAGAAACTCACTTAAAGGGAAAAAATGGGTCTTTTCAAAGCAATATTGATTTGCCTCAATTATTCTGTTAAAACCAGTGTTTTGATTTGGTATTTTGGTGAGATTTCTCGAGAGAAACTTTTCACCAAAATAATCTATAATTCCAACAAGATAGGGTTCTGTTGTGTTTAAGATGACTGTATTGGCTTGCCAATATTTGGTAACTTAGTCAAAAAGCATTACCCATTCATTAATTGCATCTGTAATGCCTTCCAGAGTCTTTTGATTTCGTGTACTCTATATGGGCTGGTTAGGTTAATGGAAAAGTAGTCATTCCCTGAATTCTGCAGCTCTGTAAACTTCACAGATCAGCTGGGCCCATCTTTTAGCATTTCACAGTGTGCCTAACTTAAGAGACTACCAGGTGTGCAGATCAAGGCTCTGTGATTGCTAATACCTGATGTGTCACATTGTTTAAATAACTTTTTTTACATAATTGCCACCACAGAACTTTCTTTACACAAAGAGCTGTACATCATTGGAAATTACTCAAACACTCTCTTGATGAAGCATAAATTCCAGGTACTTAATGTTTTTAATAATACAGCACCAGTGTAGGGGGTGGTGGGGAAGACACCCACCAGGATTGGCTCCCGTTAACCACTGATTGAACCTGATTGAATTGTGCTGCAGCTTTCCTTTAGGGGAAAGCCTTGTTGGAGCGGCCATAGGGCAGCTGCAGTCAGAGAACAATCCAGTCTTTGTCTTCTCCTCCTTTGTAGCAGAGCACTGTGTTAGTGTGTCAGCACTAATGCCGCCAATACTTGAAATTGTTGCTTTGTTTCTGTTACAAGGTAATTGATTAGTTGCTGCCTTTATTTTTATTAACACTTAATGTGTTAACTAGCCTGATTTCCTACTTAGAGACGACTTAATGCATGTACACAAATTACAGAGATCAGATGCCAAGTTATTAAAAAATTAATGGGGTTTTGTATTGAAAGTAATATTTAGCTTAAGATTTCTTAGGACATTTGTAAAAGCAAGTTAAAGCCAATAAGGTTTCTGATTATTTTTTGTACCTAGAGATGGTTTTTACAACTGAAACTAACATTTCAGCTAAACAAAACATTGCTGAGTACTGTATTTGATAAGTTGTTTTGTGTAATTTCTGTAAATTGTTCTGGAAAAGATGTAATGTCCTAATGATAAAAAAAGTTTCAAACATAGTTACCTTTTAAAAATAGCTAATAATTTTACTTTGGCCTATTAAAATATAAATATACAGCAAGCATTTGCATTCAGAGGCCAAAACTGGACTAGAGTGTAAATTAATAAAAACACGAGGGCTTATTGAACATCTTATCCTATTTAATATTAAAAATATAAGTTATGTAAATTAAGGGAAGCCTTTCTTGTTAATAAAAACTTGCTATAAACTGAAAAAAAACCCCCCAAAAAACAAAACCAAATTCCCATGAGGTCAGACAGGGTCCCTGTACCTCTTTCTACGCATCTCAACCCCTACCTTTGCTGGGTCCAAACTCTGGTGTGATAGCTCACAGATGACATAGAACCATGTTGGGGAAGTCAAAAGGTTAATACTCAGATTCATAAAAGAATACAGTCAAGACAGCTCCCGAACTGTGCTCATAGGCACCTCAGCCTCGAGTCTCGAGATCAGTGTTACAAAGTTCTCAGTCCTGCCAATATTGACTCTCCCCTCCCCAGTTCTCTAAAAATTTGGACAAAAGGCTCTGGTCCAGGGCCATAGCAGTCCCAACGTCCACTGTCTCTGCTTCAGCCATTGCTAAGTTTTAAGTGGCACAAGAATTTCTGGGCCTGAAGAACATGCTACATTCTCTTGCTTCTTGTTTGTTGGTGGGTTAAGACCTTCCAATTCTGCTGCTGGATCTGCTCAATTTACTGGTGAGACTAGCCAGTCCCCTTGTGGGTAGACTAATACACCTTATTTGTATATTCTCGCCCACCCTCATGACAAGTTGAATGTAATGGCTAGGAAAGCAATTTTGAACTAGAAATACTTAATACCACAAACACCAATTGACATGTTTCAACAAACAGATATACCCCTAGATGTGCCTAGAAATTTGGAAGACAGCTACCTGGCCAATATTTTCTTCCATTCCCCGCCCCCCCCCCAAAAAAAAATCGTGATCCAACAGAATGTGGCGATTACAAAACAGTTATCACTAATATTACACACAAGTAAAATGTTCCTGAAGATTATAGAAAACCTGGCTCAGCCAGTATATCAACAGAAACTGCCAGACAGTGAAGCTAGGGTAGAAGAGGCCATCACACCAGGGATGTCACTGCTGATGTTGCTTGGATCTTGGCTGAAAGCAGAGAATACCAAGGTGGCTGCTTGTGCTATATTGACTATGCAAAGGCATTTGAATGTGTGGATTGTAACAAGTTATGATTAAGATTAAGGAGAAAGGGATCCCAGAACATTTAATTGTGCTTATATGAAACCTATACCTCGACCAAGAAATGTTGTTTGAACAGAGCAAGGGAACACTGCATGCTCTAAAATCAAGAAAGATAAAAAAAAAAAAAGAAAGATATGTTAGGCTCTATACTTTCTCCATACTTAGTCAATAGGTATGCTGAGCAAATAATTTGAGAAGTTGGACAACCTTGGCTCAAGCAGCCAAGAAATCAAAAGGTGTGTTGCATTGGGAAAATGTGCTGTCAAGGACTTCTCCAAGTGTTAAGGAGCTATGTTGTCATTTTAAAGACTAAGGTGCACCTGATTCAAGTCATTGTCTTTTCAGTTACTTGCTATGCTTCTGAAAGTAGGACAATGAATAAGGAAAAGAGATGAAAACCAGATGTCTTTGAGTTTTAGTGTTGGAGAAGAGTCCATGTAGAATATTCCATGGACTGCCAAAAGAACAAATAAATGTGTCTTGGAGAAAGTACAGCCAGGGTGTTGCTAGGAAGTAAGGATGGTGAAATTCTGTCTCATGTATTTTGGTTATTTTGTTTCATTTTTAAGGAGTATCCAGTTCTTGGAAAGAGCCATTATTCTTGGAAAGGTGGAGGGTCAGCAAAAGATAGGACACTCCACAAGATTGATTGAGGCAGTGACTATAGCTTGAGTTTCTCAGGGTTAATGAGGATAGCACACAATAGGGCAAGGGTCAGATCTGTTGTTGAGAGGGTCACTATGAGTTGTAAATGACTCAATGATGTTTACCACCACCAACACCACCACCAACAGAATCATTCTTAGATAGTTACCGTGATGGGAAAGAGGAGTAAAAGTGGATAGTTAGATAGATACTGTTGTTGTTATGTACCACTGAGTCAGAACTGACTCACACTGGAGGAGACTGTCTGTCTTTCCAGACACTTGTAGAGAGGAGATGGGTGAATAGAAAGACAATATGTAATAGGGGGACAATCAGATGGTGTGGGTATTATAATTGCTATAAACCAAAATGTGTGTGAAGGACTGAATGAAAAATCAATATGATTTGTAAACTTCTACTGAAATCATTGGATTTGGCTTTGTATTTAAAAAGGCTTTTGGCAGCCAGTCTGGGGCTATTTCTGGGCTGGGATGATGAGTGGGATGGACAGATTCTCCAAAGGTGTATTTTCTGGTTTGGGGTTGAGACTAGGGTGTGGCTATTGCTCACATTAGGGTGTGAGCTGATTAGATTTGGCCTCGTATTTAAAAAGCCTTTTGGGCCATCTGGCCTGTGGCCCTCAGGCCTGGTTTTTGTGGATCTCCCGAATAAAACAGGCCTGGGGGCAGGAATGGCAATTCACTTCTAGAAAAGCTTGCCTCCGGAAACTCTATGAATTTGGAGAAAAGATGAAAGTTTGGTGTTCAAGAGTTTAATTCATAGCGTCACTATGGGTCATCTATGACTCTATGGCACTTAACAATAACTGAAATCATAAATTCAAAAGAATCAAGAAAGAAAGATTGCCTGGAGCAGAAGTTCCATCAGGATCTTCACTCCAGAGCAGACAGTGAGAGGAGAGCTCTCTCAAGACTCAGCACTCTTGCACTCAGAGCTCTAATGTCTAAATGGTGGAAGAACAACATTCTCTGTGGTATTTCTGTCACACCAAGACTAGATGACCAAGAGGGAGCTGAGTGGTGTGGTCCTTAGCAAGTGGCCTTGCAAACTCAGAGGCTGTGAGTCTCTGGAAGTTCAAGTCCACTGGCAGCCTTGAGGGAGAGATGGGCAGCCTTCTCTGCAGTTACTTGTATTGACTTTATGGCAGGAGCCAGGATGACTAAGAAGATGCACTGGACAACACTCACCAAATGGTCCACTTCACATCTGGGAGTGAACATCCACAGGAGAGAAATTCTACCCCGAAGAAAGAAATCCAGACAAACGTGGAACTCCAGTGTATCTTGGTGTGTTCCAGTGTTTAATGGTAAAGTGTCCTGATGTCTGCAACTAGAGGAAGAAATCGGTCGGCAGGTGGAGGAAAGGAGTGATGGCTAACATATGTGACGGAGCAAACAGCAGTGTCCGTTGTGGAAGCTCCTTCTGTTCTCACCAGTTTGTTTGGTGACTGGTGGCAGCCACTCCAGAGGGGACACCATGGGGAATGGACACAGGTCACCCAATTTTGGCCAATCTCCTATGAAAACAACAGAAGCACTAACATCTACTGCCAGCCTTCCAGTCAGTGTAGACAGGGCAGTCTCATCGGTTCCGGATGGCCTGGTGGTTTTTGGGCACAGCCACATACCGCAGCCTCTTCATGATGGGGGGCCGGCCCAGCAACTGCTCGTCCCACATGTACTCGGGGGACAGCACCTTGGTGGGCTTGTGGTACAGCAGGTACTTGTTGAGGTGGCTTTCATCATGCCACACGGCCTCAATGTGATTTGCTTGGTCCGCCATCATCGCCTGGTGACAGGCCTTGGTGAGTCTGTGCACCTCCAGCACGGAGCCCCCGAAGAAGGCCCCCATGTAGTAGAAGTCCCCCTCATCCCTGGGGATGTAGGCCTGGGACTGGGGCCGGCGCTCGTAGGTGAAGGCCTGGCGCTGGGCGGAATAGAAACCTGGGTGGAGGGTGCCGAACAGGGAGGACAGGATCTCCACGCCCACGTGGTCGCTGAACTTCATGTCCACGTCGGCGCACACCAGGTAGTCCACCTCGTGGAGGAAGCGCCGCTCGGAGAAGTTGCTGATCATCTCCATACGGTGCATGGAGATGTCCTGCCAGCGGGTGTAGTTCCGGACCTCGAGGACCACCAGCTGCCGGCCTTCCTGGAGGGGGACACTCGGGACATTGGCCGGCCGGTCAGTGAAGATGTAGTAGTTGACCTTGTGTCCCACCATGAAGTGCTGCTCTGCGGTCCGCAGAAAGAGCTCCAGGAAGACCACGTACCTGCGCCCGAGGGAGAGGCAGTGGGGCCTCCGTAAGGGCCCCCCTCACCTTCCCCTCACTTTTTACTGGGGTTTGGGTGAAAGTTTCTGATGCAGATTGGTTTTCCATTCCACTGTTCAGATGCATTCTCCATGACATTCATTAAGTCCCCACTGTGTCCCTGCCCTCTTCCCCCTCCCTCCTGGGACTCGCCACCGCCCTCCCAGCCCACCCCTTCTCGCCTTCCAAGCTTTATCTCTGGGCAAAGGCTGCTCTTTGGGCCTGATTAGTTCTTTCAAGGAGTGAGCACCTCTCTGCTGTTATCACCCCCCTTAAAGGCCTGAGCCGTGGGGGGAGGTTTGCTCCTGTTCAAAGGCTAGATTCCACCGTCTCCACTGAAGCTGTGAACCTGACCATGCTTGTGTGTCTGAGTTCTGTTCACACTTCTGCCTCTCCAGCCAGGACGCTCCCCTTCACACCCTTACTTTTTGATGGCGAACACAGTCAGCCCTATGATGGTGTTCTGAAACTGCGCTTTCAGGACGTTGATGTCGAAGGTCCCTTCCCAGACGATGGGAGCCAGCCAAGGGGTGAGGACCAGGACGTCGCTCCGACTGCACAGTGAGAAGACGGGGCTGGCAGCACACTCCCGAGACTCCCCCAGCCTCCGTCTCCTCGGGGTCCTCGGCTGACCGGAGCTTCCAGAACCACTTGGCATTTGCCAGGAAATCAACTGGACACACATTCAGGCTCAGACTTGCTGGAAGTTCTCGGTTTCATTGGTCCCCATAGCTGCTGAGCTTGCTATAGGGAGGGGTGCACCCAGCGGGCAGCAAGCAGACCCCCCACCCCGGCAGCCTCTGGGGGAGGGCAAGAGAAGAAGGCAGAAATGGGAGGCAGAGGAAAGGAAGGGCGAAAGGTGTACATGGGGTCTCTGCACTCAGATCGTAGGAAAGAACTGAAGGACAGGGCAGAGCAGCGTCTGGAACCCACGGGCCCTCTAGAGACCTCCCATCAGCACCATGAACAATGCCACGCCGCTACTCACGAGGGTGTCAGCAGCTTCGGCTGGGGGGACACCACCCTGCAACACAGAAGACCACACCTCTAAGTCTGGACATCACAGGTTGCACACTGGGGGTGGGGAGTAACTGCTCAAACCCCCACAAGACCAAACCCAATGCCAGCAAATCCACTCAAGCCCAGGGCGGCCTGCACGTCGTGGAGTAACTGCCCCACATGGTCGCCTCAGCTCTAATTATAAGAGAAGTCGGCGGCCAGGCCTGTTGTCAGGACGTCAAGAGAATCTGAACTGAAAATCTTGAGGTAGGTAAGAAGCACAGATCATTTGTACCATCTGGGGACCTCAAGGCTCAAATGGCCATGCCACCCTACTGTGGCTGGAAGAAACCAGGGGAAATGCCCAAGGCAGGGTCTCAGTTTCACCATCTGTGAAATGGGTACATGGGATTCACTGCCCTCAGGATACACTGCTCTGGTAAAATGCTGGGAAGGACCTTAGTGGTCATGTTTGAATTCTCTGAGGGTGGAAGGTGGACATCCTCTCTGTCTCTGACTGGACACCACCAGGTCAGCAGGCTCTCCCAGCCAGATTCTTGCTGGTGGCCTTGGCAGTTCAGTGCTCTCAGAGCCCAGGGTCACATCTGGGCTGCAGGGGAGTGACGTCCACATAACCCGGATGTCACAGTAGCAGCTCCAGCAGTGTCTGGCTGCCCCCCAGGTGCCACCCCTGCAAAGGCTGGTGCAGTGCACTCTCCACAGCTGAGGGTCACAGCACCAGGAGCAATCAGGTGAACCTCTGTGATGAGCTTAGCCGGAGGGTGGCCACCTCGTCCTGGAGCCTGGGACCTTCCTATTTCAGCACTGACAGGCTAAGTCCCAGCAAACCAGGAGGACAGTTACCCTGCCCAGAGCACACAACCCGCCAGAGGGAGACAGCTAGGCAGCTGAAAGGTGAGGTGGCCCAGAGTCTTTGAGGAGGCTGGTGGAGAGGCAATTGCCTTTTCTCACTCCCGTGGACAGACAAGGGCGAGGGGTCCTGATGTCATGGAGGGAGGGACGCACCTCGGTAACTTTACAACCTGCAGGACGTCGGCATCTTGTGCAACCACACTGCAAAATAAGAATCCAGGTTCAAGTGACCGTCTGGGGCCCACTCCTTCCACAGCAGTGGCCGGTGCTGTGCCCATGTGTCCTCAGCCACGTTTGCTAGCAGTAGTCAGCGGCCAGCGGAGCTGCAGTGTTGTCAGGAGAGGGACACAAAGAGGGTTAGAGTCCTTGGTACGGACACAGGCACACAGTGGCAGGCGTGGGCACCCGGCAGAGCCCTGTGCTGGTCCCAAGAGAGGGTGAGCAGTGTGGTGTCCGCAGACCCATCCCCAGGGACCCCCCTTCCCTCCTGCTGCACGTGACCGGCAGGCCAGTCTGATACACGGCATGCAGTGAACTGAGTTCTTCTGGAAGCTCATCACAGATGGCAAAGCAGCCCCTGCATGGGCTCTCGGGCACACGATGGTGGACTCTCACTCAGGCTGAGAGGAAGCCGAGGTGGCCCCTGGGCTGCAAGCCAGCATCTACCACCCGGGATACCAGGGGCTGCAGCGTCCATCGTCCATCATCATCCACCCATGCATGAGAGCCCAAGCCAGAACCACCTGGCTGAGCCCGGCTGGAACTGGGACATGGTCACGACCAACAGTGGGGTCACGTTGAGGACTGGAAAGCCTGTTTCTGCTCCATGAAGCACTGGTGGTTCAAATCCCCTGGTGGACCCAGGGGAGAAAAATGCAGCCATCTGCTTCTGGAAAGATCGCTGCCTTGGAGACCCTTCACGGTCTTGGAGTGGGGACTGAACAAAGGTTTGGGTCGCTATGGACTTCCCCCACCGGACAGTCAGCCTGAATGCAAACAGATGTGAGTGCTGTGGAGTCACAGAGAGAAAAGGCCACTCAGGGTGTCAAGCCACACAGGCAGAGCCTGAGGGTGACGCAGGCCAGGGACCCCAGTATGGAAGCCACTGGGGGGACTCCAGAGCCGTAAGCACAGCTCCATCACCACAGGACCTGACTTCTTGGGGCCACCCCCCTGCACCCCAGCTCACCTTGCCCTAGGAAGCACACTGTCCACAGGAAGCGTACCGCACACCTGCTGGCCCCCCAGACTCAGGAGACAGTAGCTGTGGGGAGGACATTAGAGCCCACTGTCAGAGAGGGCATGACAGAGCTGTCTGTGTGTCCGCCTCCTGCAAAGCCCTTGTACGGAGCCCACCCTCAGTCAGGCCCCCTCAGCGGGTGAGATAAAAGGTGTTACAGGCCACACCTGAGAGAGGCCAGCTCTCCTTCCATCCCGGCCAAGAGGCCCACACAGGAGGACCTGCTGCAGCTGGGAGGACACTGCCCCCGGGGCCTGGGAGTGCAACTGGCCATTTGCACACATGCCAGCCCACAAGGGGTGGACTCATGACCTTGGCTTCACACCCCACCCCCACCCCCACCTCATCAGCTGTCCCCACCTCACCATGGGGGCAGCACTGGACCAGGCCTCATCTGCTCCCATGCGGAGTGGGGAAGACAGTGACCTCCCCTCTAGGCAATGGGCAGCTTATTTATGAGAGTGAGTTATGGGTGACACACCAGGGGCCAGGGCTGATGCTCCGCACAGCTGGGTGCAGGCCAGGTCCCACAGCAGTGACTTCCTGCGTCTCCCCCCAGCCTGCCCAGCACTCACAGGGCTCTTACCCAAAGATGGTCAGGCCAGCAATCAGAAGCCAGGCCACCAGGCGGAGCGAGCAGCATTTTGTCCTCCCTGAAAGATGGCACAAGAATTGAGGTCACTTCCCATGGGCTTTCCCTGGCCCTACTTGTTCCTTCTCTGGTGACCCAGACATGAGATCAAGCCCAGCGTCATCCGTCACCCGCAGTCCTGCCCTGATTCCATGAGCTGGACGCAGCACCTCCAGGCACATCCGAGGTGTGGCTCCTCCTCTCACTCAGTCATCAGTGACAGCTGAACTGTCCCCAGAGCACATCACATGCTACATCATAGACTGTGGGAGCAAGGTCATGACCACCCCGCCCCACCCCGGGGCTGATAATCCCAAGACTTGTCAAAGGACCAAGAATAGATTGCAATAGCAAAATTTAACAGAACAGCAAGCAACAAATGCTGGCGAGGTTGTGGAGAAACTGGAACCCTTATTCACTGTTGGTGGAAGTGTAAAATG